TTAAAGTTATAATCATATGGACTTGTGCATATGCGTGCTCCTAACTCTACATGCATGTAGTATCAATCTTCTCCTCATCATCTATATAGAATAGTCTAAGAGCCATGGAATAAGACCACCCATCTATAGTGTAGGGACCACTCATCTATAGTGATCCCTTGAACCACCCACAACCAGGGAATGTCTATTAGTGTCTTGTCGAAGTGTTATAGTTGGCCATGATTGCCTTTCATTCCTGTTAGAGTTTCCCTACCATAACACCCCTGGGACATAAGTAGATGACTTATGATATCCCACCTACATAGACTCACACTATTCTACAAACAAAATATGAATACATGGACTTAACAATCATATCATAACAATATAATATGCAATAATTCACTTCCTCATTTGTTAGTCTTCAACACTAGGCTTATCCACCATAACTCATCATAATACTCATATGTACATCTCATCTCAAGGTAACTCTACATACGACATCATCAATATTTACACATCAAAATACATCATTTTAACTAATTCCTTACACATTACTACTTATTACTAATATTCTCTTAGTTATTGGTTTTAATCTTTCCTCTTAATTCTTCAATTATCAACTAGTTCATAAAATAACATTATTTGGAAAAGTGATGCCATGGCGCCAGAGTAGAGGTCACGGACCACTCTGCCAAACTCATGCATAACATGGGATACCCATGCCCGACATGACGACGTCTAAGACCTTTCTATCTCAATCTTGCCCGACATGGCTATCCCCCGTGTCAAGGAGTCAATTACCCCTCATGCTTAGGGTGGTCTAGGCCATGCCAACGTCCCCCTCTCCCAAAAATCAACATCAAATGGTGTCAGGCGCAACACCGCATGCCCAACACTAATTAGGTTTAGGACCTCTCTAGTAGCCCCACACCCGACATGGTTGCAGAATCCACACTTCAGAGAGTTGTGATCTACATAAGTCATCTCCCCTAATATACCCATACACATCCTTTTAAATTGAATTGAATATATAATTAATTTTTTTTTTGCAAATAATTGATTTGACAACTAAAATTAAAACTCCTAATTTAGTATATTTATCGTTAGGTTTTATTTACTTTGATTTTAAAATACAATTTAAATAATGATATTTTTAAATTTAAACCAAAACATGAGAGTAAAGTTCAATCAAATAGTGTATTATTCTGAGTTGTATTCATTATATTTTAATATTTAGAGGATTATATATATATATATATATATATATATATATATATATATTTCTAAAAATATATCTCCCAAAAAAGAGAAATGAAAATATATATTAATACATAATATTGTTATGAATCACGCATGGTAATTTTCATCCAGCAAATTAACTAAAGTTGTATGTATAACCATGAAAACATAATGGTAACACTACAAGAAAATTGCGAATTAGAGAGGGAAAGATCCTTCGCAAATTTCTTGCAAATCCCTCACTAAACAAAATGGTAGGGACTAGCGAGGGATTTGCGAAGGACTATTCCCTCGCTAAATTCAAGTCGCTAATTAGTGACGGATGCATATCCCTCGCAATTCCCTCGCTACATTCCTTCGTTTTCCCCTCGCAACCAGCTTCGCTAGTCCGTCGCAATTGCATTTAATATTTCCTCGCGATATTGTCGCTAATTCCTCGCAACTCTGTAGTAATATATCAATTGAGGTCCTTCGCAAATCCCTTACTAATCCTCCGCAAATCCCTTGCTAAACCCTCGCAAATATGTCCTTCGCAAATCCCTCGCTAACCCCTCGCAAATATGTCCTTCGCAAATCCCTCGCTAAACCCTCGCAAATATGTCCTTCGCAAATCCCTTGCTAACCCCTCGCAAATATGTCCTTCGCAAATCCCT